CTGTACCCTCACCCGGAGGAGGACCATTCTACAAAATAAATAATATAATATTAAAATATAAAAATAATAGGTATAATAATTTTTTTGCAAGCGTAAAGTATATGCAATTACAATGTACAAAATTACTGAATATTTCACCTACATGTACATGTACATGCATGTACATGTACATGTACGTGTACATACAGTATACGTACATACCAGCACACATGCACACATAAATGTACATGTAGAATGTACACAAATTTACAAAATAATACTACATCGCTTCAAATTTCTGAGGTTAAATATTTTAAAGATTTTTGTGAAATTTTAAAAAATTACATGTAGTCATCATGCATGAGTTGGTTGCATATTTAATTCACAAAAATTCTAATATTCAATTTTTTGTAAAAATCACAAAAACTTAACACAACAAGAATACGGAACTATGTACATGTACATGGGTTTATGCATACACATATACAAGATTATTTGAATGTCATACTACATGTACCATACATTGTATTAGAGTACCTGATCCCCCCACTTCCAATCCGGTCCACGTTGAACTCTTGTCCCTGGAGTGAGTCGTGGGATGACCTCTACCCCAGTCACAGGAGGATTGGGTGAGTTCTGTGAGTTAGCAAACTCCACTACTGGTACTGCTGTTGTACCGCTACCAGTGGGATTTGATTTAGTCTCTTCAACCTTCTCTTCAAGCTCTGAAACACCAGTTAATCTACAATGTGAATATAGATTAATGTATATGTATAAATAATATACTGTATAGGGAAAATTTTGGAGGGATTTAAATTTGGCAAATTGCTAAATTTTGGTGATTGGTAAACTTTAATTTGGCTAATTGGAGGCCATGTGCCATTGAGCATGGGCATAGTGACTCATAATAGCAGATTCTTGTTTTGGTGAGTTGCTATCAAAATGCCAAATTTGCCAAATTTGCCAAATTTAACTCCCTGCAAAATTTCCCACTATACAGTAACTATAATTTATGAAAATATTTATTAATGAAAATAACAATTGTACATGTACAATTAAAACTGTTATAAAATGCTAGTATCTATTACATGTATATGTTAGAATAAAAACTGATTAGCTAGTACATTGTACCTCTTTTAAGAAACGATAAGATATAAAGTACAATTATACTGTACATGTAAATGCATGTTGCGGCCTAATGTCTATGTGTATGCACAAGTACATGTACATGTATATGCATGTTTGTACATGTAGCTTATAAATGAAAACATCTAAAAGCTTTACTTACTTAAAAATAGACTGCACTAATCCCAGC